CTTCCTAAGAACTGCCACTTTGTCAAACAGGCTCCTAAGGGGATACTTTCTCTAGCACTACAATCTTAATCTCTACAAGTCTAGGGTCAATCATTATCTACTTTCTACAGCCACATTCAGTAACCCTCTACTTTGAGTGGCTCTTGAGCCTTGCAGTGGGTGAACAATATTGTTTTGCTATTTGGGAAAAACATGTTTTAGACAAACTGAGTATGTCTATTCCAAATGTATACAAAGAATAGTTCTAATACATCAGGATTTTGCATTATGTACAAGTATGTAAGATTGTCTGGTTATACTCCTTCCCAGTCTTTTGAACAAGAGCAGAGGTTTATCACTTGTTTTCTGTTGAGGAACGGGTTTCCAGTTCCTTCTAAAGTTTATTTCAAATGTATACTTCTAACATCTCTACCCAAACTCTGAAATGATTCTTTTTTTTTTTTTTTCTCCTTCAGTAGAAGTAAATAGGTTCACACTCCTCCCCAGTCTTTTGAACTGGAGTAGAGGTATTGATATAATGGAATATCCAGTCACCCCCATGAATGATTACACTATCGGTAGTAAGTACCTATAAAGTCAACTGTCTATGAGAGACTGAAGAGTGAGAGAGAGACAACACAAACATGTCCGACCTTCTAATTAGTGGCACTCACTACTAGATTGACCTGTGTGTATAACTGTACCGTATTTCATACTGTACTGGTTTTGTACAATAAACCTTTCTTCTGTAATCCACCTGGTATTACGTATTTATTCCCTTAGCACGAAATATAACAGGTTTATTACTTGGTTTCCTGTTTAGGATTAGGTTTCTGGTTCCTTAAGTTTATTTCAACTCTATACTTCCAACATCTCTGTCTAAAGTCTGAAATTTGATCTACTATTTATTTTTTTTCCTTCAATAGGAGTAGGTAGATTCACACTCCTCATGGAGCTTTTGAACAAGAGTAGAGGTTTATCATTTGTTTCCTGTTTAGGATTGGGTTTCAAGTTCCTTTTAAAGTATTCTCTTTCAGTACCAGTAGCCCTCTTGTCTTAGTAGCTTTATTGCCTTGCTTGGGGTGAATTGATTAAAAATAAAAAGTAGATGATTGAGGAGACCTTGCTTTGTTAATGATAACAAACAACAAAGAAATGTTTGCAATCTCAGCACATCCTCTTCAAAATTGGAAATGTGCATCATTCTTCTATGAGAATATATTCCGTTTTGAGCAGATCACATTCCAACTATCATTTGAAAGTCCTTGAGACAATTTATCAATTTATATTAAACCAAGACCACCATTTTTATGCAAACAAAAGGATTAGTTGTTACAAGTGAGTGTGATCTGCCTATAGATATACTTGTATCAATATATTATTGATGTGTGTATATTTTGTTTCCCTTTTTTACTCAAGTGTGCATTTGAATTTCTGTAATCAAGTTCCAACACATGAGAAGCAATAACCAATTACCTCATTCTATAGGATTTTCATTATTTTTTTTTTATATTGTCAACTACTGTAACTGAAGTTTACCAATAGTTCCTTGTAATTATGTTTCTATTGCTTTAATTAAAAGGAAGAGGCTATTTTGCCTCTCCTGGTAAAATACACATGCTTTTAAGCTTATTTTACTGGTCTCAGTAAAATCAGCACCCAGGCTGTTTTGTAAGTAAATATTTTTAGTATTATGAAGACGGGTAATGTTAAAAGTAATAACTCACTGATTTAATACAGAAGTTTATTTATTTTCACCATTATTTGTTAAAACAATTTAAAATAATTTTTTCATCATTAATTATTAAAAGAAATAGAGCAGTATCAGAATATTTTAAGCACTTTAAGCATAACAGTGTCTGAAAATCCCAAACTTTCCCTTGGGTATGATTCTGTTGCCAATACATTTCAGGTGCACCCACTGAAAACAACAGTCACAGACCACAGAATCCATGTTGTTCACATCCTTGCCTACACAGCCACTGTGCAGATGATCTCAAATATAATATGTTCTTAGATCGAAAACATACCAGCAAATTAGCCTTGGTGTCTATTTTACCGGGACCAGCAAATTAGCCTTGGTGTCTATTTTACCGAGACCAGCAAATTAGCCTTGGTGTCTATTTTACCGGGACCAGCAAATTAGCCTTGTCATAATTAAAAACCTTTTATCTACTATCCAGAAAAAATATTTCAGTCTCAATTATGCTAATTCCTGTCTGTACTTGTAATTGTCTTGAAAAATTGGATATTTTTTTTTTTTTTTTTTTTTTTTTTTATGGGTAAGTGCATAACATAACTCTTTTCTACTCTTGGATGTATAGTGGAAATTAACAAATCTTTGTTTGCACAGAGAAAAAATTATATATGATATAATGATGGGAGAGATTTGCAGAGTTTATGTGGAATCAATGTTTCAAAGATTCAATTTTTTTTTTTTTTTTTTTTTTTTAATATACAATCACCAGAGATTTATATCTGGTTTAATATTGTTGGTTCTTGAATTTTTATTAAATATAAACTACCTTTATCAATATTTGATCTTGGCTGAAAAATTTTTGCAAACATCTAATTTAGGACATAATACAATAATTTTAATGCACGGTTTTTGAGACAGGTGCAAAAGTGTAATAGTACCACCAATAAATACTCAGTGATTCAAATGACCATCTGTTGTAGTTTAGATGTATGAATAAAAATTATTGGAGCTTCTGATTAGAAAAGGATAAACAACATTCCACCACCTGAGTTAGGGTACTCATATAATCACACCAGCTGAGTACCGAGATTAGGTTTGTAGCTATAAAAATTATGCTACACTACAGTAACGTAAAACATATTTTGTGCAAGATGTAAAAATTTTGCTTTACTACCAACTCCAAGTTCTTGTGCCTGACACAAAACTTGGTTGGTAGAAATAGCAACTCTCAAAAATAGGTGCAACTTAAAAAAAACAAGACTACCACTGCATAAAAATTTAAATGGAACAAACATTTTATTTACAATTACAAATTTGAAAAGTACAAAACAAGGATTGCACAAAAATTTCCTTTTGTGTGTCTCTTTGGGCAGGGTAACACTTTCAGGAGGCAATAATAAGATTATGCTCAGAAACAGGAAAAAATACAATTCACCAAAAATATTAATAAAACCAACAGATTCATATACAAAATATATCCATTCAAAAATACAAAAATAAGGGAAAAACTCTAAGTAAGAGGATTCACAATATGGCACAACCTCTGTTGTAATGGCTCTGTAAAGGACCTCTCAGCTCAAAAGGGATTTGACATTAGACAAATTCTTGTAGGTTTTGGGGTGTGAAATTTGTCATAGGAATCTGCCTTGTATCTGTCACCTCAGATTTATAACCTCTCACTGAACTGTCCTTTTATGTGATGTCTTGTGAAAACTGCTCTGCCTGAAGTTGAATACTCTGCCATTTTCTTTTCAACTCTCTTCCCTCCTTCAACTGCTGATAGCAATCCTTCTTATTCTCAATGGGATCCAGCCAAAATTTTTAGTTGCTAGAAAAACTTGATTCCCATTGGTCAATATATGTAAAATCACCAAATATTCCAAAATAGTAGATTCACCATATCTTGGTGCTTGAGCCTAAAAGGCACAAAATTTAACTTTTTTTTTTTTTTTTTGTTGTCTTTTTTCTTTTTTGCTGTTTCTTTTTATTTTTTTGCTGTTTCTTTCCTTTTTTTGCTGTTTCTTTTGCTGTTTGTCTTTTTTCTTTTGTTTTTTTTTTCTTTGCTGTTTCTATTTTTGCTGTTTCTTTTGCTGTTTGTCTTTTTTTCTTTTTTTTTCTTTTTGCTGTTTTTTTTCTTTTTGCTGTTTTTTTTCTTTTTGCTGTTTTTTTTCTTTTTGCTTTTTTTTTTCTTTTTGCTGTTTTTTTTTTTTTTGCTGTTTTTTTTTTTTCTTTGCTTTTTTTTTTTTTTTTTTTTTTTGTTTTTTTTTTTTTGGCTGTTTTTTTTTTTTTGGCTTTTTTTTCTTTTTTTTTGCTTTTTTTTTTTTTTTTCTTTTTGCTGTTTTTTCTTTTTTTTTTTGCTTTGGCTGTTTTTTCTTTTTTGTTGTCTTTTTTCTTTTTGCTGGTTTTTATTTTTTTATTTTTTTGGGGGGGGTTCTTGTTTTTTTTTTTTTTTTTTTTTTTTTGTTGTTTTTTTGCATTTTGTTAACAAAATAAAATTTTGTAATACTTCTAAATTTCCATTAGGTTGTTGATGTGGAATAAAGCATTGATTAAAATATATCTCGCTCTCTGGCAAATGTGAATTAAAACCCAAAGCCCCAGTCGTCTTTTATGTACTAAGTCCATTCAGGACATGAGCAATCATGGCTCTCCATGCCGCCTTATACTTTGTAGCTCTTGGCAACATTTGTCCACTTATTATCTTTCCCATTCCTTGTTCTGATAACCATTTACACAAACTTGTTAGATAGTTTGATCATGGATCTGCATAACTTCCTCTCCTTTGTAGCTATAAGCAATATTTCTGTCCCTGTTCTGCTAACCATTTATTCATTATGATGTTTCTCTCTGCTTCTTTTATATTCAATTGTCTGTGAGTGTTAAATTCTCTAAGCCTTCTTTCCTGATTAAGAGTCCCAGAATTTTCAACTTTTGCTTTATGATTCTAAGTTCAGGTGTCTTTTATTGCTGAAAAAAAAATGCAGATAAAGAAAAAAAATATTTCTGATCACTGAATTGTGTGTCACTTTATTTTCTCATACTCATGCCTCTTTGTTACATGACAAAGGAAAGTAAAAAAAAATTTCTTAATTGAACATCACAATGTTTCACCAGAGATAGCCATGTAGAGCCAGTATCTCTCAAACCTTGACAAATGAAGAATTGAGTGTCTGTCTTTATTTTCTCACTCACACAGGTTTATCATGTGACATTTTAAATGTAAAGACAGATAATCATTTTTGTATCCCTACACAAGCTTTCCCTAGAGAAATCTGTGTCTTCTGTCAACTGACTTTTCAATTTATGCTTTTTGTCTTTACAGGTTTACCTCCTCAGGAAATACGCATCTCATCACGTGCCTAAAAAGATCGAGAGTCGGCGTTTCTACATTTGCAGTCTTTCTACAAAAACTATTGTTTACAAGGTAATGCCAGACTGATGAACCAAAAAGCATTTATTGACTTTTCTTTTACTAAGTTTCACTCAATATAAGGCTCGAGTGCCATTCAAGGTAGTGTTACAATAGAAATGGCAATGATGAATGAAGCGTGTGATATGAATATAAACTGAAGGTGGGAGGAAATGAAAATTATGAGGACAAGGAGGACAGTCGACAGCTGACTGTTGACTTGAAGTAGCCATTTATTAGTGCACATCAAGTTGAGAGATCCTATTCTAGCAATAATAGAAAATTATCACAAAGATGCTACCATAATTGATGTCTTCAAATGATTTGAAACATTAAAGTTGATTTTTATCAAACAATTTTTCACATTATAACAACAGTTCTAACCTTCATGGCTATGACTTGCCATACCACACACATTGTAATAAACCACCCCCAATTCTTTTGTATTTCATTGGTGAGATGTAAGTTTGATTTGAGCAGCAGCTTCTCATGAACCACTGCTTTGTGGAACCAACTCTCAAGAAGATGCTTCCCTGATCACTACAGTTTTAACCTGTTCAAGTCTAGGATCAACCTTTATCTTCTCTACATATTACCATGAACTGTACCTCTTACTCTGTAACCCTCTACGTTGAGTGGTTCTTGAGCCATGTACAGGGTGAACATCATTGTCATGAAGATACACTTTGTAATTTAATTGCATGGAAAGTGATATACATTTTCCCATTTTAATGTTAGGTAAATCTTAGCCAGTGACAAGTGTTCAGCTTCACATATGGCTGATTAATATAAGATCTTAATCAACCTTCAACAATATACATATTAAAAATCTGTCAAAAACACCTGTTGAATACTAGTTGGTCTACAAGAAATGATGCAACGGAACAGTTAATCTTGCAGGGAGATCGATTATTTTTCAAACCATTTATAAGTAGACATGAAGTAGAAAGAAAAGATGAAAAGATTAAATCTGATTCTTTTACTATTGTTGTTTACAAAAACAATAATAAAAAAGTATCGGACAAATGCTACCATAATTGAAGTTTTCAAAGGATTTGAAATGTTAAAGTTGATGTTTTTATCCAACAATTTTTACATTGCATCAACAAGGTACATTTTGTAATTGAACAAAGTAAACAGAATGACCAACTTAGCTCCTTTGGGAATCGGTATCTTGTTTTCTTTTTCAGTGCATTTAGCTGCAGTAAATCAAGATCTCTCTTAATATTTATTATTGCATAAATAAGAAAAAAAAAAGAGCTAGATGAATAAAAATGAATAAATATAACCACGGTACCTTTCTTGCTGCCTTTAATCATGAAACAACAAAGCTTATATGTAATTACCAAAGGATTTTATTGAAAATAAACATGTCTAAATTGTTTAATTAGACATGTTTAAATGAATATTTATATACAGATTTTTTTTATTGATCTGACAGATTTTATCACTTTAAAAATTACTTTTAGTGGATACTCATATTTAAGTAGATGCTCTGTTTATTTATTAAACAGTATATTTATTTTCATCTACCAGTCTGAACATTCAAAAACTCTTATTAAAGTGTATCCACGTTAATAATTAACATTTAAAGTGATAAATATATATATATATATGTGTGTGTGTATGTATATATCTATAAATAAAAGACAAAATAAAAAACTTTTCTATATCAATGTGTTTCATTCCTTAAGGAACTTTAAGATAAATGTGGAGGTTTTATTTTGAAATTTGTATTCATACACAGAAGTAATGTGGAGGAAAAATATTGTTTTCAAATTTTAATTTGAGAATACTCTAAAATATTGAAGTTTGCTGGGAAAGGAAAAGTAAATTACAGCGAATGCTAAATGTAATTATATGTCACTTAATGTTTTCAAAATTTGAAAATTTAACAGTATTTTTCCTCCATATTACTTCTATGTATAAATAAGTTACAAAATAAAATCTCTACATTTACTTTGATAAAGTGCTTCAAGGAACAAAACAAGTTGGTATAGAAAATTTTTCCTTTTGGTCTTTCATTTTAATTATCTTGTCTTTACATATATATTTTATTTATATCTGAATTTTTACACATATATATGGATACATTCTCTCATCCTCCTATATATATATATATATATATCTCCATGAAAATTGATAAAAAAAAGCATAGCATGACAAGAACGGCCTGAAACTTGATGAAATATTTTTTTATCACCTTAAATATATATTTCATTTTTAAGAAAAAATACCAAAGTATTTTTTGATTTTTTTTTTTTTTTTTTTTTAAATAAATTTTTTACTTATTCTTAGCATGTCCAAAATTTTAGTTAAATTTTTTTTTTTTTTTTTTTTTTTTTTTGTCAGTAAAATTAAAAAAAAACTCAATATCAGTTTTTTTTTTTTTTTTTTTTAAATTTTGTAAACGAAGTTAAATTCCTCATTTAAAAATTGTCGAAAAATCAATTGTACATTTTTCAAAATTTATTTGAAGAAAATTAGAAAATTTAAAGTTTATTTGCTTATTCATAATCTTTTTCTTTTTAGGGTTTGTTTACTACTCGTCAACTTTGGCAGTATTTCAAAGACCTGACAAATCCTGAATTTGAGACACACCTTGCCATAGTTCACAGCCGATTTTCAACAAATACAGTTCCCAGCTGGGAAAGGGCACACCCTCAAAGGTATGTGTTTCTTTCATTTTTGTAGAAATGTAATTTCATTTTTTAAATGACTGGCAAAAAATTAAGTATAGTACTGGATTGGCAGTTAGGTCTCGTAATTTCACTGTTGAATTTGCTAAGTGTAAGAATAGGTTTAATTCTAATGGTTTCTTCTCTCGCACTTCCTTGTTGAACTCTTTTTGGGCTTCTTGCTTTCTTGTCAATCATGATCTTCAAAAATTTAAATGCAACATCAATTGAACGCTTTTCTTCCATTGCCCTCTCAGTTTCTTTCCCTCTCAGTAAGCCCTTGCATCTTTGTGGCTTTTATTACCTTACTTGGGGTGAGATGATTTAAAAAAACAAATTATTTAATGAAATTTGGAAAAAATAATCTGAGTAAATGAATCCAAATCTTAATTGTTAAGCAACTAGCTTCCATTTTTTTTCTTTTAAGTGTTGCTGTTCTGTGTCCCTTTGTGTGTTAGACGATCATGGCTCTCCACAACTTTCTATCTTGTGTGGCGCTAGCCATTTTCTTCCCCCTTTGCTAAGGCCCCAGCCCCCCATTACACCATCTATTCACACACGCTTGTCAGATAAGTGGCTTGATGCCTATTCATCTCTCTTGCCCTTAATATAGCTTGTGAGGGTTAAATTTGTCAGAGTTAACTCCTCGTTAATTGTCCAAATTGTTGACTAGGGCACGCTTTCCCTACACTATAAATACTGGGTGATTTATTGCCTCGTTCTCTTTTTACTTTGTTGCCCACTTCTGGGAAAATGCCATGAAACACATACATGTATATACGAACATTCATCAAAATAAAAACTCTATACGTTCACGTACAAACACAAATGTTAATGTCTTTGTCCATTGTAAATCTTGTTGTTTATATATATATATATATATATATATATATATATATATTTTTATGTTTATACATTCTTTTTATAGATACAAATATTTAAGTAAATGCTCTGTTTTATAATAAACAGTATTAATAACATTTGTCGGACCTTGTCCATTTCATATATATATATATATATATATATATATATATATATATATATATATATATATATATATATAGGTCTTGTTTGTTTCCTTTTAATATCTTTGGTTGGACTCAACTTGAGTCCACCATATTCTTGTAGTGGACTTTTTAATATTCTATCAGGAGTTACGCACATGTTCCTAATTTAACAACATGTAAACCCACGGTTCACTACAAGTTTTCTATGCCCTCTTTTCTCATTATGTGTCCAAGGAATTTCAACTGTCTTTCCTGATTCGGAATATAGGCATTCTTTTTGTTGCCATTATCTTTAAGACTTCCTTGTTGCTTACTTGTTCCGTCCATGGAATTTTCACTATCCTTCCGTAAAACCACACTTAGTTTTTTCTTTATCCTTGAGGAAATTGTCCAACATTCTCTAGGCTACTCTAAAATGTACATCTTATTCTATGTGCCATGGCACTTCAGGACAGGATGATCATGGCTTTCCATGACTTCCTATTCTTTGTAGCAAAAAGTGTTTGTCATTTTACTATCCTTTTCAGTTATTGTTCTGCTATCCATTTAAACAAGTTCGCTAGATAGGTAACTCAATATTTTCTACTATTCAACATGCCTTCAATATGTCCTGTGATAGTCAAATTCTTCATTCCTGATTAAGCGATAGAGGATTGCTCAGTAACATTGGGTACTGTAAGCAGCCTTCTACAATTCGAAATATGCTCTAGCTTTATTGCGGTCATATATGGTCTGGTACTCCTGCTGTGCGTCTTGAGGTCATCGACAAAATCCAGAGATGAATATGCAAGATTATAGGTCCTAATCTGGTATCTGCTCTACAATCGTTATCCCACAGACATGCCATGGCCTCCCTCTGTCTCTTCTACAAGTATTTTCATGGCAACTGCCCTGATGAGCTACTTTCGCTGGTCCTCGGACTACATGAATTTAAGCGAGCTACCAGGCTGGCATCTCAGTCCCACCCTTTTACTCTCAAAATTTAAATGTAATCTCTTCTCAAACAGCTTCTTCTACTACACTTCCTGTCTGTGAAACTCGCTTCCCCTTACTTGCTTCCCTGATGACTACAATCTTCAAATATTCAAGTGTAATATCAATCAACATCTGACACCCTGAGCTTATTCCCTGTCCTTCTCTTTATCCTCTCCTCAAACATGCCTCTTTACTCTTGTTCTCAATCTTCTGTAACCCCTTGCGTGCTAATGGCACACCCACCTTGCTTGGGGAGAATTGCCTTAAAAAAAAAGCTTTCAATCAACCCTCATTATGTATCCTCAACATTTAAACTGCTTCTTTCTGATTATAACTGCTTAAGCCTTCAAGTTTTTCACACAGAATTGTTCTTTGGGATGCTGGATTAAAGTGTTGTTTTGGTAACATATTGAGTTCTATTCTTGGGCTGGGCAGTGTGTACTTAGTGAAAAAGGGGTGAGCAATAACTGATCAGTACTAAAATACAAACTAGATGAGATGACCCTTGACATTGGCAGTGGAACAAGAACAATATACCCACCAGGATTAAAAAGGTTCAGTTCAAAATTCACTGTAGGTTACTAAGATCAACATACACCTGATGAAGGCCTAATGTTTCCATGAAGTACACACAGCCCAACTCAGGGATTGAACTCCCAATTACTATGTCACCAAATTAATCTACTGGGAGTAATTCTAGATGGAGAACTTGGAGCCTTAAACCTAAGCTGTCTGCTGATGAGTGCTGCTGCTTATCATGCCTGACTGTACTCACTGAAGCTTTTCTTTTGTTACATCTGATGCTACCAACCTATTTGTCTATCTTTTTTTTCATTAGCAACTCCTATATCATATTTATTTTTATGTTAGACCTACTAAGAAGGTTCTCATAACATATGCACTGATTCTTTCTATCTTTGTCTAATATTTTCACTTCACTCCACAAAAGCTGACTGCTACCTTTTTTTTCCCTCTATATATGATCAGCCATGCCTGATTTCATTGTCTCACTCCTAACTATGGCTTTTCAACGTTCTTCCAGCCTTACTTTTCAGGTGTAACTTGTTTCACATTTATCTTTGTCACATCTCCAAGGAATGAAGTTCTTGGTTATGTTTTCTCCAGTTTTAGGTTTGACTTGGCTGTGATTTCTTCATAGAGTGGAACTGCTTCTGAATATTGTTGATGTTGTATAAACCATAGATCTTCTGAATCTTAATTGGTAAGGTCTTGATGTAAGGCAGACAGAAGGCAATTTTCTGATCCTTTTCCTTGACTCTTCTGTTTCCATCTACAATTGCTGATGTTTTCTGGGTAGTTATTCTGAAGGGCACATTTGATACTGATCATTTCTTGTTGGTATGTGGCTGGGTTGCCCAGTTTTGTAGGTATAAGACAGTTTCTTTCTTTGTTTTGTGTGGATGGTGGGAATTGAAATTCAGGTATTGCCTGATGAAAGTTGTTTTAGCTGTTTATTTCCTTGTGAACTGGATCGAAGGTCTTATCAAGTTCACATGGTCCACCAGTATATCTACAACTTCCTGGCCAGGCCAAAGTATGAAGGTGTCATCTATGCATCTCAGCCATACTGAAGCGTGTTTTCTATTCTGATCTTTCAGTCAAAAGCTTTATTAATTACCTTTTATTTTTAATAAATGGTCAAAGGTTACAACAGCTGAATAGACGAGCATGCTGGTCTGAACAGCAAGGTATATAATAATTTAGATAAATAGAAAGAACCATCAGTATATATATATTTTTTTTTTTTTTTTTTTTTTTACTATAACACAATAAAGCTAACAAGTCTACACTGGTCCTTGAGAATAAAGATGAACTAAACAATAATGAAAGGAGTTAGATATCTCCAAATCTCAGAACTTCAATTTTTCAACAATCTATGTTAAACTGGATTTGAGAAACATTATAAAACACCTACTTCACTATATTATTATTATTATTATTATTGATATTATTATTATTATTATTATTATTTTCTTTGATTTCTGGCATTTACGCATTTCTTTCCGGGTCCTGCCCAGGGACCTAAGGTTAGAAATGGCATCATGACACTTTCCACTGCCAAAAAAAAAAAAATTACATAGATAAAGCCCTTCGTAAAGTCTGGGCTGTACTTGTCAGAACAATTTTTTTGTATCTCTTTGAGGCATGGACTTCCAGGAATCCCTTCAATTAGTCTACTACAATCTCTTCCAACCAGTCCTAGGGCTACAATTACAACGGATTGTTGATGTTCTCATATGCCACATTTCAAGAGATTTCTATTTCAAGGTCCTTGTATTTTGACAGCTTTTTGAATATCTTCAAAGATACATTGCAATCAGCAGGGACTGCCATATCAACAAGGAGGCACTGTTTTTGTTTGTGGTCTTTAATAACAATATCTGGCCAGTTGGCCTTGATTATTCTGTCAGTGTGTATTGTGTAGTCCCATAGAATTGTAACGGGTCCCATCTCTGTAACCGGGTCTGGTTGGTGTTCATACTAGTTTCTTTCAGTTTTCTTCCCGTAGAAGTTGCAGATTTTCCAGTGCAGATATTGGCCCACTCTGTCATGTCGGATTTTATATTCAATATCGTGCAACCTGATACAAGATGATCAATCGTTTCTGGATATTTATCATTATTATTATCATTATTATTAATAATAACAATAATGATATCATTATATATCATTACCAATACTATTCATAGTCCTCTTAATAGTATCATATGTTAGGGTGTATCAAGAGTATTTTCATTTTTACAGCCTTTTACTCCAAAGCTTATTTCATGTACATATCCAATGATTAACTATGTTTTTATTATATTATTATTATTTACTAGGGTGTATCAAAAGTGTTTCATTTTCTACAGCTCTTTACTCTAGAGTTTATTTCATGAGCACCTGTAAAATGTAAACATGATTTTTAGCTTTATCTTTATTTATATATAGATGAGATAATTGTGTATCTGAGCAGCAAATTGTGTGTGTTTATTTATATAAATACATGTTATATATGTGTGTGACATGGTGCAGAGTCCTGTTGCCAGACAGAGGGTCTTCCAGCAGCCACCCTCTTGACTGAGGACAGCACTACCTACTCAAAGCACTTGATATAGGCCTCCATGTTGAGTCTGAGTCCCTCACCAACAAATTTGTGAGTTTTTTTATTTTATCAGAATGATCAGTGAGTTTTCTGAGCTGACGTACCTTCATAATCACCATTAGACTCCTCCAACTCTTCCTAAATCCTCTGAACTGTCCTAAGATTGACAACTAAACACTCCGAAATTGGAGCATCTGGCTAAAATACAAACTTTTCAGATTTTCCTTATCTTATTTTCTCTGTACAGCAAGTTTTTGTACAGACATTTCTATCAATTTCACATTTTACTTTATATATATATATATATATGGTTGGATTGATGTGAGTTTGTGACCCTGAGTTTCACACTTTTGCAATCGTCAGACAAACTGATTAATTTTTTAAAAATTTTGGATTTATGTAGATTGTGTGTATTGGTGTTATTATGGAAGTGGAGGGGGGAAATCGTTGTCATGATGTCACTCTTCCTAACACAAACCTAGATGCATGTCCTATGTTGAGGTACGCAGACACACATACACACTCGCTCGTCCGCTGGGGCTCATACAGACATAAACATATGGTACTTGACATGTGTATGTGTGCTGTTGTCTATATACATATGCATTTGTATGTTGAAATTCAAAGATCGGAAGTGTAGCAAAAATTTCTCATAAATGTATACGTCTGCTATCAGAGCATTTTTCTATTCTTTCACTGAATAATATTTCCTCGCATACACGTATATATACATGTGGTGGGGTCTGTGTAAAATTATGATAGGTAAAAAAAAATCTCGATATTAAGCACTTTCTAATAAGTTCCACGCATATAATATATATATATATATATATTATAAATTAATTGATTTAAAATGTTTTTTTTCCAAAAAAAAACAACATATTTTAAATCAATTAATTTATAATATTAATGCTCTGTAAATTTACATTGAGCACTACTTTGTAAAAATATCTATAAGAACACCGGATTATATATCTTACTGTTCTTTCTGTTTTATATATATATATATATATATATATATATATATATATATATATATATATATATATACATATATATATATATATATATATCACACACACATGTTAATGTAATCATTATACATTAGGGCCTATCAAAACTATTTTCTTTGTTACTGCCCTTTACTTCAAAGCTTATTTCATGAACCCATCTTTTTTAGTATTATTATCAATACTATTCAGCTGTCCCTTTTGTTTGAGACATTGTAATGGCAGATGTATTAATGCTGAAGTTGCTTGCAGAATTCAGGATCTGGTCATTAATTTGCTGTTGACCTGAAACTGGATCAAAGGTCCATTGTGGCTCATTTGTGTTTTTGTCTTTTCAGGTATTTGGCCCACAATGGAGAGATCAACACTTTAAGGGGAAATGTAAATCTGATGCATGCTCGTGAAGGCATCATGTCAAGTCGTGTCTATGGTGATAAACTCTCTATGTTGTATCCTGTTGTTGAGGAAGGAATGTCCGACTCAGGCTGTGTTGACAATGTCTTGGAATTTTTGATGATGGCTGGAAACAGATCACTACCTGAGGTAAGTTTTAATTTTGTTACTTATATGGCAAGGCTATCTGGAAAATGCCCAGGTTAAAATAGCTCTTCATATTAACATAGTCAAGGAGCCAACTTTACGACTTCTACTTTTACAATGATAAAAAGTGAGTAATTACAGTATACAATGAATGAAGATAGAGATAGGGGGAGATAGAGGTGAAGAGAGATAGATAGGGGGATAGGGAGGTGAAGAGAGACGAGATAGGGGGATAGACGTGAGAAGAGAGACGTGAGATAGGGGGATAGACGTGAAGAGAGACCGAAGAGAGATAGGGGATAGACGTGAAGAGAGACCGAGATGGGATAGACGTGAAGAGAGACCGAGATGGGGGATAGACGTGAAGAGAGACCGAGATAGGGGATAGACGTGAAGAGACCGAGATAGGGGATGAAGAGAGACCGAGATAGGGGGATAGACGTGAAGAGGGATAGGGGGATAGACGTGAAGAGAGACCGAGATAGGGGGATAGACGTGAAGAGAGGGATAGGGGATAGACGAAGAGAGACCGAGATAGGGGGGGATAGACGAGATAGGGGATAGACGAAGAGAGACCGAGATAGGGGGATAGACGAAGAGCGTGAAGAGAGAGACCGAGATAGGGGGATAGACGTGAAGAGAGACCGAAGGATAGACGTGAAGAGAGACCGAGATAGGGGGATAGACGTGAAGAGAGACCGAGATAGGGGGATAGACGTGAAGAGAGACCGAGATAGGGGGATAGACGTGAAGAGAGACCGAGATAGGGGGATAGACGTGAAGAGAGACCGAGATAGGGGATAGATAGGGGGATAGACGATGGGGGATAGGACGAGCATTCACCAGATTTAAACAAGACCGAGATAGGGGGAAGACTGCATTCAAAAAAATTGCTGGAGATTCTAGAGTTGTACCCATATTTGATCGAATGCTCACCAGTGACAGAAAGCAAGTCCTGTATGACACTCCCAAGTGTGCCAGACATTGGTTGTCACCACAGGATGCTTTGCCTCGCACCACAGGACCATTCATGCAAGATTATGCTCTGTATCTGGTGGACTAGTCAACAAGTGGTGCCCTTTGAGCTGCTACAAACAGGCCAGATTATTGCTGCGGACTTACAGGATGTTTGATGCTTGCTTTGCAAAAATCTGCAGCAGAAACCAATTTCAGCTTACATTTCAATCTATTCAAATCCAATATGTTTTTTATAGATATACAAAGATAAAAAAGTATTTTTGATGATATTAGAACTCTAACTCTTCCAACTGAATCTATTTACTAATTCATTATCTAAAATTTATTACACTAATGATGCATCAATAAGAGGCTCCCATTAGAAATGAAAAAAACCTTGTTCATATATTCAAGTGTTTGTTTTGAGGTCAATGTTCCATTTTGACTGATTAATGTCAATGCTTTCAACAGACCAATGGCTCATCAATTAAGTTTAGGTTCAATCACAGTTCAAAGTCCTCATTAAGAAAAGATTTTCAATATTGAAATTAAGATGTGGAAATAATCAAATAAAAAACTCAGAAATGAAAATCTCCGAGTTGGTGATGACAGGGGAATGGCTGTCACTTGTTTTATTTCCATTACTTTGTATTCTCATTAATAAATGATGAATAGTTATCAGGTTCAAAAGACAAGGATTTATTCATTTCAGGCAATTAATTTACCCAGTCTTGGTCACTGAAAGTGAATCAGTTTTACTTGTGTTCATAATGTTTTTGTTGCTTGAACAATGACTGAACAGAATAAAAGAAAGTATCTTTTTATATATATATATATATATATATATTTATATTTACATATGCTCTATCCCTGGTATTTAGCACTTTAACTAATAATATATATCTTAAAACTATATTTGTATCATTTATATATATATATAAAAACATGAAAAAATTGAAAATAAGCTTATTTAAACTGACCCAATGAAGAATGGATAATTGTTCAAAATTAGCCAAGACACTATATACATCACTTCCAAAGACTTTTTTATAGTTCTGTGCAATTTTTTTTTTTTTTTTCTAAGCAAAATCTAAAATAACATTTTCATCTTTATTGCCCAACTTTGGATAAACAACCAAGCTATCATTTAATAGGCTTTTTAGAAAAAAGGATTTTAATTCTAAAAAAGCAATTTAATAATAAAATAAATATAAAAACAATCAACATATCAAACGTGTATAAAATCATAAAAATATTTAAAATGAATTATGTAATATTCTTACCTTCTCATTTCTCTGAAAAGATTCCTCAGTTTCTAAACTGATTTTTGTCTTCTGCTTCCATCCCTGTCTTCAATATACCAATCAGATTCTAAATATTGATTATTTCTAACTCAATCAATTGAGTTAATTGAATAAATTTTCATTCAGTTATAAATGATTATCACAAATGGATCAATTAATATTTCATGTAAAAAAAAAAAAAAAAAAAAAAAATTTAAATTGTCAGGAGGAGAAAAATGCCAGAGAATTTAAAATAGGAATCTATTTTTAAAGTTGTATTTTTATTGGAGTGCTGTAAGATGATTTCTCTGTAAACTAACAAATGGAAGAGATCATAAAATATACAGTAAATATTATTATTAATATTTTATATCTCCAGGTAAGATGAGAATGAATAGACTACAATCCCAGTGTTCTTAACATTTAACTTAAAAGTGGGCTCAGTACAGAGTAAAGCAAAATATTATTTATTTTAGGGACATTAAAACAAAAACATGTTAAAAATCGCTACACAATTGTAGTCTTGTTTCAACCCATATCAATACGTCTCCTCAGGCAATTGTAAAATTATTAATTTAGATGTAATATAGTTCTGTATTAATTTCCTTTTAGTATTATTAACATCTTATATGAATGTACTGGTATTTAGTTAGTATTTTTGACATCTTGCATTGATTGGTTGGTATTATTAACATCTTATATGTATGCTCTTAATGGTTGCATATTAATTTGCCAAATAATTTTGTTTAAATTATTTACTAGATTTGTAAAGAGGTCTCTTATTTATCAATTACAAAAATTAATTTATGTAGGAAACTCACAAAGCATATAACTAGTTGACATTAGGTTTAATTACCTCCCTACCTCCTACACTTTTATTTCATTGGGAAAGTTAATTGTCTATCTTGTATACACTTTACGAAATAATGTAACTATATGTATTGGTTTTAAACCCTAGTCTGGGATCAGTTGGCAGACATCTTGTCATGACCTATTTGTAAAAAACTTTTTTCTTTTTCGCTTAGTTTAAATTTAACGTAGGTCATATTTGATTGGTTGATCACAGTAAAACTCTTGAGCCCTCCTCAAAAAAAAAGAGGTATTTTGCTTTTGAAATTAAATTAATCGTTCACTCGCCAGTAATTTACAATCACCTGAGGAGACATATTGATATGCGTTGAAACATGACTGCAATTGTGTAGTGATCTTTAACATGTTTTTATTTTAATATCCCTAAAATAAATAATATATATATATACATATATAAGATAGAGAGGGCATAGAACATACAGTAAACATTATAATTAATATTATATATAAAGAGGACAGCAATTTGTATTCCACAGTGGTCACCCATCTGAGTACAGACGAGGCTTAATGTTGCTTAACTTTGGCGATTGGTCAAGAAGCAGTGTACAGTATCACTGCAAGAAAAGGTTTTGTTATTTAATTAATAAAATGCAATTGCAAAATTACTTACATTTTGCCACCATTTTTTTTATGGTAGTTAAAATAGTATATTGAGATCAACAGCAACATGTCTGTGACCAAGGTGATCCTTCAAAATGTAAGTAATTTTGCAATTGCATTTTATATATATATATATATATATATATATAACAAAACCTTTTCTTGTGTTCCTTACTTTTTGAATTGTTAAACAACATTCTATTCACCATTGATCAAATGTTATTTACCATTGTTGGAAGGAGACATTTTTCATGGTTGACTCAAGGGTATGAGAACAAAGCGAATACAAACTGTGACGTGTAGAGTTTGAACCCAATTCTCCAATTTCATTCTCCACACTCACTTGAATAATGGACACATCAGCTATGGTCTGATCTGGAGAGAGCTGGACTTCTCTAGGTCTACATGTCCAAGACCTTCTACACATGACTGAATCATTCGGTCACACTTTTTGCATAGATTCCTGTAACTCTGTCATCATCCAATTCTATTGTTCATTATATTCATCAGGTCAGAGGGATTGCTATTTATGTTGCCCCAAATCAGCTTGACATAGGTTTTGGATTGTTGTCTACTGCTGGTTCTTCCTTTCAGTGCTTCTAGCATTGATGCTAAGCAGAATAATTGTAGAAGATCAATGGTCAAGATCAACAAGCTCTATGACGAGTTACTGCAACATGTCCATAGGGGTGGCGCCCATGGTTGTAGAATCAGTTAATGAATGAATGATTCATTATGACTAAAGTTTGCAATTCATATTTGTACCACATGAATGAATTTCAGCAGAGATATTAGTACGCAATCAAGACATGTATACATGACTAAGGAAAGTCTTCAAGTAGAAGGATATGACCTGCAGTTGGATGAATTCTACCAGGACTGTTTACCCAAACACACTAGGCCTGAATGAATACCTCTTTGATTTTCAACACAGATATTGCAATTGATGATCTGTGTCCATGAGCATGTTGTGCCTTCAAGTAGGAGACAGATTGTGGGGTCTGCATTGGAGAAGGAGGAGCTCCACCTGGTCTACTGCTGATTTACATACCAAATTGACTACTCCTGTGCTGAATTGATAATAGGGCTATTGCTCTCCAACACTTATCAATGAAGGTGATCATATTCAATAAGCTTCATCTCATTCTCAACTATTGACAATAATGAATGCTCATACCACTTCTCCATAAATTCAGTAAACTCATAGAAAAACCTTCAATATATGAAGAAGGAATCATTGCAAATTCTAATAGCAGAGCTCCATAACCTGTCACATTGATAAAACATTGCTAGTGATATGGGAAGTACCCATGAGTGAAAAGTTTGCATTTCAGGCAAACTTGGTTCACCAGATACTTGAAACACAATTGTTTATATTCATTTGGTATGGTTCCTAGTGGTCCAATAAATACTGGGATTGTCTGAATTTTGAGATGCCACATCTGAATCTTCTTTTCTTCCCTTTTCTTCTTTTTTTCCTTTTCTTCTTTTTTTCCTTTTCTTCTTCTTTTTCCTTTTCTTCTTCTTTTTCCTTTTCTTCTTCTTTTTCCTTTTCTTCTTCTTTTTCCTTTTCTTCTTCTTTTTCCTTTTCTTCTTCTTTTTTTTTCTTTTCTTTTCTTTTCTTTTTTCCCTTTTCTTCTTTTTCCTTTTCTTCTTTTTCCTTTTCTTCTTTTTCCTTTTCTTCTTTTTCCTTTTCTTCTTTTCCTTTTCTTTCTTCTTTTCCTTTTCTTCTTTTTCCTTTCTTCTTTTTCCTTTTCTTCTTTTTCCTTTTCTTCTTTTTCTTTTTCTTTTCCTTTTCTTCTTTTTGTTTTTCCTTTTCCTTTTCTTCTTTTTGTTTTCCTTTTCCTTTTCTTCTTTTTGTTTTCCTTTTCCTTTTCTTCTCTTTGTTTTTCTTTTCCTTTTCTTCTTTTTGCTTTCCTTTTCCTTTTCTTCTTTTCCTTTTCTTCTTTTCCTTTTCTTTTTTCCTTTTCTTCTTTTCTTTTCTTCTTTTTTTTCCTTTTCTTCTTTTCCTTTTTTCTTCCTTTTCTTCTTTTCCTTTTCTTCTTTTCCTTTTCTTTTTTCCTTTTCTTCTTTTTCCTTTTCTTCTTTTTTTCTTTTCTTTTCTTTCTTTTCCTTTTCTTCTTTTTTCCTTTTCTTCTTTTCCTTTTCCTTTTTTTTCTTCTTTTTCCTTTTCTTCTTTTCCTTTTCTTCTTTTCCTTTTTCTTCCTTTTTCCTTTTCTTCTTTTCCTTTCTTCTTTTCCTTTTCTTCTTTTTCCTTTTTTCTTCTTTTTCCTTTTCTTCTTTTCCTTTCTTCTTTTTCCTTTTCTTCTTTTCCTTTTCTTCTTTTCCTTTTCTTCTTTCCTTTTCTTTTTTTTCTTTTTTCCTTTTTCTTCTTTTTTCCTTTTTCCTTTTCTTCTTTTTCCTTTTCTTCTTTTTCCTTTTCTTCTTTTTCCTTTTCTTCTTTTTCCTTTTCTTCTTTTTCCTTTTCTTCTTTTTCCTTTTCTTCTTTTTCCTTTTCTTCTTTTTAGGGTGAATTGACTTAGAAAAGAAAAAAGAGAAAAAAAGAAAAGACTTTAGAAGGAACCAAAAACCCAACAATAGTCAAATGTCAGAGTTTAGGCAGAGGCATTAGAAGTATAGGGTTGAAGTAGAATTTATTGTATTTGAATCTGTCTTTCCCAGCATTATTTTGCTTAACTCCATGATGTCTTATAATTGCATATATTATTTTAAACTGGTAATACAAATGGATAGCATTGGAAACCCACAATAGACAAGTCCATCTCCTCAAAAAGGGGTGGACCAGATCTGATCCCAATCCTAAGCATGACTGTTGATATAAACCAGCATTTGGATACACTCTATTTCTGGTTACATTGTGACTGTCTTCAAAGGCCTCATCCACTCCTTTGCTGTTCTGTTTCCCTTTGGAAACTTCATCTGCTATCAATAAAACAGACACTTGATATCAAGATAAAATCTCACTTTCCTCCTCTACATGAGTGTTCATAGTGTCACAAAGATCAAAGAATACTATTTTATATATCAAATACAAAGATATATATTAATCATTTTATCTGAAAATTGTTAGTAACTATATTTTTACTTATTTCAGGCTGTCATCACCATGGTCCCAGAAGCATGGCAAAATGACAATTATATGGCTCCAGAAAAAAAGGCTTTCTATAAATGGAGTGCACATACAATGGAACCCTGGGATGGACCAGGTAAGAATTATTTATACCATCAGTATTTAGCAGCTTCATTATTATTTATTTTTCTATTTGTTTAAAAAAAGTTAATGACAAGTATATCAATGATTTAGTTTCTGAACTTGATACACAAAAGCATTTTATAATATATATATATATATATATATATATATATATATATATAAAATGTCAACCACAGAAACATCTGCAAGACTATTATATGAGGATTACTCTGAAAGTAATACATCCTAGTTTATTATATTGGCCCACTTAAAAGGCTATACTGACAGTATAGCAGTAGACTGAACCTTCCGACTAATAACCCAGATAGCAGCTTAGTGTCAATCTGGTAAAATGGTATTTGACATGAAAGTGCATACTAATTACAGGTTATCTTCCATGCAGAAAAACTGCACCCACTGACATTCATCAATGCTTGATAAACATTTATGGTGACTAAATAGTGGATGTGAACACAGGTGATGGGTAATGCATTTCAGAAATGGCAACGGTGATGTATTTGACAAGCCCCATTCTGGGTGGCCCTGCACAAACGTCATGCCACAAAATAAAGGACACATGTCCAATGCAAGCAAAAATGCATAGTCAAGTGGTAGGATTGAAGAGTTTTCACAATGGTTTTTATGAACAGTTTATTAAAATTATCCATGTTTGCAAAACTGATTCTTAAACTCCTTTGACCTTCGATAAAAAATTGGAATGTAAAAAAAAAAAAAAAGGAATAAAACATGATCCTAAATTAAAAAAATTCAGTTGGTTGTTTTTGTTTAGCAATATATCAACACCTCTATGGTTCATAGAATGCTGAAATCTGAATATTTTGTACACAATTTTATTTTTGATTTGGAGATAATGGTTTTAGTGATACAAATCTTACTAATTAACCCATAGCTGTGGGGAGAAGTTAGATTTATACCTTTCCTAAGGTTATTTGGATGTTAGTGAATATAACAAATCTAACTGGAATTGGAACTCTGTTCTCTGATTCCAAGCCATTATCCATTACACCACCTGTACATCCAATCTTAATGTACCCGATATTCCCAAGAAGTCACCCATCTAGGTACTGACCAGACTCAACATTGCTTAACTTCTGTGATCATAAATGAACTAGTGTTTCAATGTTATGTGACTGTAAGCCCAAAGAATTTGGGAGAATAGAATTCATTTGTAAAATATTTGAATCCCTCCACTGCCAATGATGGTGACTATATGGAAAAATTCTGTTTTGTAGCTAAAAACTTGCTCCATCCAGTAGTGTTATTGTGCTCCCAGTATCTGTTATAGTTTACTTGAAAATAAACATGAAGCATTACTTTCAGAATGTCAATACATAGCCAATGATGTTGTCTATGTGGGGAAAATAGTGTTTTGTAGCTGAAAACTTGCTCTATCCAGCAGTGTTATTCTGCTCTTTGTATCTACTGGAATTCCCATGGAAATAAAGCATATGCATTACTTTCGGAGCATTCTCATAAAATTTTGTTGCTTTCAGAACATAGAACTTTTTTTTTTTTTAACTTGCAAGTATTGAAATTAAATATATAAATAATAAATTTCAACAATCAGATTATTCAAGGGAAATTCATGAAAACAATGTAATTGTGTTCCGTGTATTGGCATATAAATAAATAAATATGAAGCATTATTTTTGGAGCATCTCTTGTTTATGTAAATCATTGACATATCTGCAGGATGATTCCATCAAATGTTGAGAAAAATCCTTATTAAAGAGAGAAGGCAATAAAAGAACAGGGTTGAAGGAGACAGAAGATACCAATTGACATTGCATTTAAAAGTTTTAAATAAAACCAGCGGAGACCATGTAATTTCCTCTGTATATCCTGTCTGTGAGCTTGTCACATCTGTCTTCTCCATGGTCTAAATAGCAACTGTGATTTGTCATTCTACAAACTTGGGTCACTCAGTGGCCTTCACATGACCCTTGTGAATTCATCTTAGCCAAAGGGAGCTAATTGCCCTTTGTATCTCTACATGTCTATGAACAGATATGTGAGATGTTCCTAGTTATCCTGAGTTTTCTAACTGATGTTTTCAGATTTTTTCTAGCCAACACATTCAATTGATCATTACTTTTTTAAAATAGATCTTGGTTTATTTTCATGACTCTCATATCCTGAAAAAGACTTCTGTAGCCATCTTTGTCTAGTTCTAATATTAACAATACCTCTGAAAATGCCAAGTTGATATCTCCTTGAGCTTTTTTGTAATCATGGTCTTGTTTAACAGGAGCAATCAATACTGTTTTATCATTTTCTAGGGGCTATGAATATTTTTTATGAAATATTCTTGGGGTAACATTTTCCACTGACATGAAGTGAAAAGCTAATATTAAATCACCTGCTAGGTCTTCTCTTCTGCTAGGAAAACTGGTTCTCTGTATTGTACAAGACAATTTTTCTCACCAAAATCTCTCTTACACATAAGTCAGCCATTCTTCCATGCTTTGAATATCGTTACCACATCTGGTTTGGTGCTTTTGTTATGCATTTAGAGATTCTTGATAAAATCAAAAATTCAACAACATTATTGGCCCTGACCTGGCATCTCAGCTTTAGTCACTTTCCCACCAGTGTAATGTAGCTCCCCTGTGCCTTTTCTATAAATATTTTCATGATAATTGTTCTGATGAACTTTCTTCTTTGGTATCTAGACTCTGAATTTATAGATTCTTGATAAAATTCAAGTAATCTGCAATGTTATTGGTTCTGAACTGGCATATTGGCTTCAGTGTCTTTTGCACAGCCTTAACATAGCTTTCCTGTGCCTTTTCTAGAAATACTTTCATAGTAATTGTTCTAATGAACCTTCCTCTATAGTATCTAGACTTTATGAATTTAAGCACAGTACTAGATTGGCGAAAAGGTCTCCTCATTTTACAGTTGAAATGACTAGATATAACCATAAATTCTATGCTAAGTTTTTTCTATCACATTTCCCACTTGTGGAACTCTCTTCCAGCTTCTTGCTTCCCAGTCAACTTTGATCTTCAAAAATTTAAATGGAATGTCAATTGTTCTTGTTTCTTAATTCCTGTTTTTTCCTTAATGTTTTTTTTTTTTTTTTTTTTCCATGTATTTCACACTTAGTACCCCTTGTTCTTAGTGGCTTTATTGCCACGCTTGGGGTTGGCAAACAAAAAACATTTCAACAACCTAATATAAATTTAAAAAATAAATTTTAATATAAATATTTTTATAATTTAAATATAATTATAGATTATATTTTATTATATATTTATAACTATTATTATACTTCTTTTTTTTATATCTAATAACCTTTTTAAAGGTAATACAAATTTTCAAAAATTAACATCTTTCCTCTATGTCCAGTAAGTTCAATGCAGGGAAGTTCACCATTAACTAACTACAGTGTAACCCGGATATAAGAGTTGTCGGGACTGGAGAAGAAGTCTCTTATATCCGGGTTTGGTCTATTTTATATACATTAACACAGGCTTTAATTTGGGACCAGAGAAAATCTCTTATATCCGGGTTACACTGTACAAAGAAAGTTCCTTGCAAGATTTTATATATATATATATATATATATATATATATTGGAAACTCTCTTATCATGAATGATAAATGAGGGTCAGCAATGGATGGTGCCTTTCATTTTACACTTATGCATTCTAGCAGGGGCAACTGTAGAGAAAATCAGGTAAGGGAAAGACATATTTCATTTGTGCTTTCTTAAGCATGATACTAGCCCAGCCTTGCTGCGGGCAACAAAACCACACTGACAGATGAAATTTGTTAAAGCAGGATTTTGATGGCATCTCTGCTTCAGAGCTTGACAAAGCAAAATTTTTTTTGGAATAACTTATTTCTGAAATTTACGTGTTTTAATAGCATATTCATTATTGAAATCAAAATTTCTATGGTAACGGCTAGAGCAATTGTTTAAAGAAAAAGGGGTGTAAGGTGTTAATAATTTGTATCAGTTTAATTTTAATTTTCCATTTTAATGGAAAATTATAAACAAAACTAGAACTTGTAAAACTTGGGATGACCCATGCCCTTTATGCCTACATGAAAAACTACACATTAAGTTTCTAAATAATAAAAATCTATTAAACAATAGACATGAGTTAACGGTTTTTTTGCCGACATCATCAAATTTTTGCATTGAATAATTAGCATAAAAACAAACAAACAATAAAATAAGTTTTAAAATCCATAGTCCTAATAAATAATTTAAATGCCCTACAAAAAAAGATAACCCTTTATGAAGTTGTCAAAAAACAAATGTTAGCGATTTACGGCAGTTTTTATATACACAAAACCCTTTCAGAAAAAAATAAAATAAAAAAATAAATAAATCTCCATAGACACGTAAACCAGACTAGGCGAAATCATCTTCTGCTTTAAATTTAGATTTAACCTTACCCTGACTTGACATCTGTGAATGTAACTTTATACTGATACAAAATTAACACCTTACGCCCCTTTTTCTTGAAACAATTGCTCTAGCCGTTACCATGGAAATTTTGATTTCAATAATGAATATGCTATTAAAACACGTAAATTTCAGAAATAAGTTATTCCAAAAATATTTGGCTTGAAGATGGAACAGAGCTTACTTTAATTCAATTTAATTCAAATAATTATATTGAAGTTTTTTGGCTCTTGTTTTGAAACATGAGAACTCTTATGTAGCGTGTTGGAATCATATTTTTTAAATATATATATATATATATATATATATATATATATATATATATATATATATAATTATTAATACAAAATCTAATTTATCCAGTGATGTTTCCATGTAATAAACTATTTTCATGGTGATGAAATTACCTGTAAACATCTTTCGTTATCCCAGTGAGTCTTCAGATTTCAGTGTCACAGCCCATAATAGATAAAAAGCATGAAACTTAGAAATCTTATATCATGGCTTTTGCTTTAATATCCTGTTGAATTTTCTCTGCTTCAATATTTAACTTTTTGCCTGCAACTCTAAAAGGTAAAAATAATATCCTCATTTTAACAATGTTTTTTTTTTCTGTTTTTTTTTTTAAATTTTTTTTTAAGCTCTATTCACATTTACCGATGGACGATACATTGGAGCAATCCTTGATAGAAATGGACTTCGACCTTCTAGGTTTTATGTTACCAAGTCCAACCATATGTACATGGCTAGTGAAGTTGGGGTGGCCGATATTCCACCTTCAGAAATTGTTATGAAGGTAAGTGGAATGTTTTGAATAATTTTTAGCTTTTTTAAAACTTTTCTTTTTTTTTTCTTTTTTTTTTTGTTTGTTTTTTTCATCTGTATTTAGAGCCATGTTACAATGGTGAGAAAATGAATGAATGAAGGCGAGATGCCAGGTCAGGTAATAACATTACCGATGCTTTGAATATTGTCAAGAGGGTTTCCTTAGAAGGAAATGGATACTATTACCATTAATACTATATTAAAAATTTCTGAAAATAATGATTTTTTTTTTTCCAGATACAAGTCCTATTTAACCCACAGCTAGGAGAAGGAGATAGATTCATACGTCAATGGTAGTGGCTTTATCTTGTATCCAAGAATTTAATTTCTTCTTTGCTGATCACTTCCTTTATGATGATGTTGATGACTACAATTACTGCCAATGTGCAGGTTCAGAATTAGAAGCTTCTAGTTTCACCAAAATCTGCTCCTGTCATCCATTCCCTATCACCATTTGGCTTTGTAAGAGTTGGTTGGAGATGAAAGAAAATCAGAAGAAAGTGCTGATGGTGTGAATTTGTTTAAAGTGAACTTGCCAGGAAGTGACGCACACACTTGATTTAATGAACTTCCCCTGCAGCACATCTGGAACAAGATGTGCAGAATCCAGTTATGAAACTGCAACAGAGTGCCACTGTTATAATTTTGAGTGGCACCTTCTGCAGAACGTTTGTCATGCATAGCCCTCTTCATCCACCGCTTCAACCGTTGAGATCTGTTGTAATCGTCATCCGCTTTGTTCCATTGTTGGAGTCTTTGAGATTGGTCATGCTTATTCTGGGTCCTCCTCTTTGACTTTGCTGCCAATGGTGGCCCTACCAGGAGTTTAGAACTCTTGACAACATTGTTCTCAGTCATTAGACTATGCAAGCACCTCCACCATGACAAGGAGCTACCATCAGAGGTACATACATAGAAACATACACTCACAGACACACATATATTTTACACTGGATGTCAGACAAAACAGTTTGTCATCAGATGTTACTTTAATGACAATAATAGAAACAAAACAATAAATAAATGAATTAAAAGTATAAAATCATCAAATGTATGAAAACATTTTTTATTATTCCCTTTGTTAAAATATTTTAAAGATAAATAACACAGGATAAAATTGACTACAGTGAACCAATAGTAAAAAAGAAAAAAATAAACAAAATGAAATAACATTACAACTCTAATTGCTTTTTCTACAAATTTGACAATATGTCCTTGTCTATAAAAATGTTACATTACATATTTTAAAATTAATAAATAAGAAAATGATAACAGAATAAAATTATTGGCAAATGTTGTTAAAATGTTTGATAGGGAAAGAAATCAATGATACTGAACCAATAGTCAAAGATAAACAAAACAAACATGATGGCTCAAAATGCTTTTCCTACAATTTCATAAATTGTGCCCACTTTCATAAATAAAAATGTTATGCTTTGATGTTAGAGTAGAATTATTCATGCCAATATGTAAGTAATTTAACAATAAATGTTCTCAATGTAATAATTCTTAATGATGATAAATATTCATAATAAATTAAACTTACTAAGACACTTTTTTTTTTTTTTTTATAAAGCAATCGATGTATGCCTTGACTTTCTTAAAATCAAAGAAAACACATATCTATTTTAATTAAAGGTTATAAGTGCATAATAATCATAATAATCATAATAACATAATAAAAATTATAATAAACAAAGAAAAATATAAGATAAAATGTATACTTAAAATTAATCAAGACCTATCACAATGTGAATAATGAATCTGACGGGAATTTGAACTCGGCTCTTTGAGTTTCCATTCCAAGCTGTTATCCATTACACCCCTTCTTCACACATCCACCTGGTAATGTCTAAATGCTACATAAAAAATAAAAATCTATGGAAGATAGAGGCCAGGATAAGCATTAACAGAACAGCAATTTGTTAATATACTTCAAATGATAGAGAATGATACTTTTTGACAGGCAATTGTATAAATATTTATTGATTCCCTCAGACAGTTTGTACTGAGTCTGCCTCAAGCAAATCAATAAAATCTTTTACATACCTAGAAAGCAAAATAAATTCTATTGAAAAGATATGAAAATTCCCATAGCTAAAGCCTGAGCCACCTTGAATAAAATAGAAGTAACCTGGAAATCAGATCTGTAAGACAATCTCAAAAAGAGATTCTTTTGAGCCACTGTAAAGGCAATGTTAATGTATGGTACCACTGTTGGATATTAACTAAAAACCCTAGTGTCTAAGCTTGATGGAGCATACACTCAGAGCTATATTTAACATATCTTTCAGACAACATCCAATTAAATCATAGCTCTATGGAACCATCCCTGATATTTCTACAATATTACACAAACGAGTGATCTACTGCTCTGGACACCTAGCCATAGAGCAAGATGGGTTGGTCACCCAGCAACCAACTACATTGACTAGTTATGTTATGATACAGAAAGCTACCCTAATGACCTGACTGTGATACAAGACCTTGATGGTTGACATGATACTCATGAATATCTGTGCTAGCTCAACCAAATAAGAATAAATATTTAGACAAAAGCCCAAGGTTTTCCATGTATTTCCATCAAGTTTTTTCTTTGAAATCTATCATTTTTTTTTTTTTTTTTTTTTTTGCAGCACCGACTCAAGCCAGGCCGCATTCTCCTGGTTGACACAGAAGAAAAAGTATTTAACATGCAAGATAATGCAATTAAAGCTAAAATAGCTAGTATACATCCCGTAACAAAATGGCTGGATGCTGAAGTAAGTTTTCCTTTCTAACAACCTTTTTGGATGACATTATTTTTCATTTTCATTTTTTTTTTTTTTCTAAACTTGCAAGTTTATAACTCTGAACAAGATGCTGAAAATAGCATAACTTGGATGCTGAAGTTTTTTTGTTTTTTTTGTTTTTTTTTTTTTGATATCTCTTCAGATTTTATGTTTTTACATCTTCAATTTTTTTTTCTGAAATAGTTTATATCTAGAAACAATAGCAAAATGTTGAAGTATTTTTTTTTTCCTTTCTGGTATCCTCTTTTCAAATTGTTTTTATATCTTTTAAATTTTTTTTTTTTTTTTTTTCTGAAATTGCATTTTTTATAAAATAATTTATATCTAGAAACAAAATAGATGCTGCAAAGAGTAATTTTTTTTCTAACATAATGTCAAAAGATTGTTTTCACTTTTCATTATTTTACATTCTTTTTCTAAAATAGTTTACACCCTGTAAAAAATGTCTGGAGGCTGAACTAATTTTTCATTTCTGATATAAGCTTTTCATATTACAATTATTTTTTTCATCTTTTGATACTTTCCTCTAAAAATCAATCTCATTCCATTTGAAATAGCAGTTAACAAATAATAGTTTACCAGATAGGATGTTTTGAATGCCAGTTTTGCTTTAGAATGAGTGTACATTTACTTCACACAATTGCTTCTCTATTATTTCCAAAGCAGCTAAGAGAAAACATCTCAGAAATTGAACAGAATTAATCAGGTAGAAGAATATGCAATTTTATAGGATCACGGTTTGAGAACTGGTAACCATAGATTCCATTTTGTCACCGTTCTGTGTAAGATCACTTGATATAGTCATCTACACATGATTAGCTAAAATATGCGCTGAAAGAAATGCTAACAAATAAAAAAAAATAAAAATCAATGAAAGCTTCTTAAACAAGAGCTTCTTGACAAAAAATCTGGCAGAGTTACTTCCTTTTATTTTTCTAGTCTTCCTTCAAAAGGATTTAATTAGAAATGATTAACAAGGGACAAATACTTATATTTTTTTTTTCTATTAGAAGACCTCTCATAATGGTTTAATTGTTACTTTTCTTTATTAATTTTGGATAGCACAGTTTTACAGGAGTGCCACTAGCATGCAAAGGGTTACAGAGGATTGAGAACAAGAGTAAAGAGGCATGTTTGAGGAAAGGATACAGAGAAGGAAGGGGAACAAGCTTGGGTGTCAGATGTCGATTGACATTACACTTGAATATTTGAAGATTATAGTCATCAGGGAAGCAAGTAAGGGGAAGGGAGTTCCACAGACAGGAAGTGTGGAAGAAGCAGTTTGAGTAGAAGAGACAGTTACATTTAATTGTTTTGACAGTGAAAGGGTGTGACTATAATGCTAGCCTGGTAGCTCGTTTAAATTCATGTAGTCTGTGAACCAGCAAAAGTAGCTCATCAAAACAGTTGCTATGAAAATATTTGTAGAAGAGACAGAGGGAGGACATAGCATGTCTGTGGGATAGCAATTGTAGACTAGATGCCAGGTCAGGACCTATCATCTTGCATATTCGTCTCTGGATTTTGTATAGTTTTGAGGTATGCTATATTTATGGGTTAAAGTACTCAACATCAATGGTAGAACTTACATACAGTGATGTTGATAAAAGTGACTCACCTGATTTTTTTTACTAAAAATATTTTTTTGTCTATTGTTTTGGGGTTAAAATAATTTTTTAATCTTACTAATATAAAGACCCCTTCCTGATACATAATATATATATATATATATATATATATATATATATATATATATATATATATATATATATATATATATATATCTAGCTGACTTTATATTGTCCAGATAATGTCAACAAAACAGAATGAAAAGTTCAAACTTTGAACAATATAATGATGCATTTATCTTGCGTATTGCTGATATTAATTCTATTCTTTTTTTTTCTTTAAGTGTAAGTGACTCGGGTTTTGTTACATAGATTTTGTAAAAAATTAAGGAACCTGATTATTTGGTTCTAAAGTCACCCTGCCATGCACATTTTTCTAATGGCACCCAAATTTCTTTCAATACTCCTCTGGATTTTTTCACCATTCCTTGTGGGTTTGTACTATCCACTTTTGGGAATCTCTGGTATAGAACTCATAAAGAGAAATAAAACTCGATCACATTTTTTTTTTTTTTTTTTTTTTTACTTTCAAAATAACCAGAAAAGAGGGCTAAATGGCTATGTAACATTGCTTCTTTTATATAGCAGTGAATGCTGGACATTTTCCTCACAGATGAAGAGGAGATTTGAAACAACAGATGTGGTTCTATAGAAAAATGCTGAGAATACCAGGGATAAAGCATGTAAGAAATGAGGAAGTTTGAAGAAAAATGAAAACAACAAGGACACTTGTATTTAGAAGCAGTGAAAGAGTTGAAAATTATGGGACAGATTATAAGGAAAGATGACTTGGAGAATTAGACACCCATAGAATATACTGAGGGCAAGAGAGGCAGAGGGAAACATTAAGTAACTGACCCAACAAGCTTGTGTAAATGGATGGCAGAATAGGTGGTGGGGGGGGATAATGGGACAAATATTACTTAGAACTATAAAGCATAGGAAATTGAGGAGAGCCATGATCTCCTACCTAATTTTGTGTAAATGGTTGGAAGAATATGGAATGGGAGGGATGGTAAGATGAATATTACATAAAGCTACAAAGGAAAGGAAGGAGTGGAGAGCTATGATCATCCAAGTTGTGAAGGGGCATGGCACATAAAAGAAGAATCAGTTATTGCTAAATTATAATGGTATTTTATGGATTTACTTTCATCTCTTGTATTCTACTTGAAACTGTCATCTGTACGAGATTGTTTTTAAGACTTTGACAATAACTTATTTTTCTTTGTTTTTGTTTTAGTGCATCAACATGTCTGATTTACGCATGTTACACAGGCAGAAAACACCCTCCCCATCACCTTCTCCACATATCAAAGAGTTCCCTAAACTTGAAGGAGGACCTCTTCAGCGTGACCTCCGACTCACAATGTTTGGCTATACAACAGAGGCTATTCATCTGCTTGTTATACCCATGATTAAAGACAAGTAAGTATAATTACCTGAGTAGCAATCTAGTATTTCTATTCTAATCAAACTTAGACCTTTGTACCTGCAAAAAAAAATGGAGTGACAAAAGAACTGTTTTTCCCTTGACACCACTATTATTTTAACTACCTTCTATCCTGAAAAATGCTTGTTTTAAAAAGCAATGATTAGAATTGTTATAAAACCTAAACATATGATGAACATGAATTTATACAATTTTTGTTCTTGAGAATTATTGATTTATTAGGTTGGTTATTAACAAGAATAATTTTGTTTACAACATTTTAAAAACTAATCCCATTAAAACTAATGCAATATTTATCATTTATAGATTTATAAAGAAATGTGAAAACAATTTTTATTCATAAATTTATAAACATTTACTGAATTATTAAAATCTGTAAACCAACTATAAAGAAATATTTAATAAAGTTTGAAGTAATTAGTCAATATTTTGCCAATCATTCCAACAAATAATAGTGTAAATAAACAATCTAATAAATAGTTTATATTTTTATTAATTTTCATGAACATATATTTAGGTTTTATTACAACTTTAATCATCAATTTTTAAAACGACAAACATTGATGAGGAATGAAGGTACTTAAAATAATAGCAGTGTCAAAGGAAAAACTGTTCTTTTGACACTTTTTTGTAGGCACAAACGTCTGTCATACATCTAGTTTCTACATATCTTTGTGCATTTTTTTATTACTATAACTGTGCAACACAATACTGTTAAAATGCTCTGAAAGATTAAAGCAATTTTCAGTCTAAAGATAATTGTTCATTAATTATGAATTATAAACAAACATGTATATTCAAGGGAGATAACACCAGGCCCATTAACTGTTAATTACTGTAAAGAAAACAGACAAATGTTTAAGTTTGTAGTGAAGCTTTATTCAATGCAATTTGACTATTTGATCATTTCTTTTATAATCAAATAGTTAAAGGAGATAACTGTAGTTGCCTTCAATACAATTGCCAATTGATTCTGGCAATGTTTAACCTTCATGCTTGCAAAAAATAAATGATGTGTCAAAAGGACAGTTATTCTCTTGACACCGCTATTACTGTGTACTCATCTGACTCTCTTGGCAATGTTTGTTTTTATAAGCATTGATTAGAATTTTAATAAAACCCAAACATATGAAGATTAAGTTGTACATTTTCTTTATTCTTGAGAATTGACAGCAATAGTCCATTGATATTTTTTTATAAAATTATGAATAAAAAGCTTTGTATTTATAAAATTATAAATATGTAGTTGATTTACATATTTTGATAATTTTCTAATTTTTTTTATGAATTTTTGAATAAAAAGATTTTTTTTCAAATTTATTTCTTTATAAACTATTAAATAATAAAACTTTATAAAATGTAAATAATAAATATCGCATTGTACTTGGTTCAACCATTTTTATAATCTTGTAAATAAACATTGCCTATAGAGTTAAGTGTATATGGTAATAGTAGTGTTATAGCCATCCTTTTGACACAGATTTTTGCAGGCTGAAAGGTTAATCCATGTCAAGGTTTTTAATCTATTTCTATCCTAAGTGCATTCATCTACATGTATGTATGTATGTTTATCTGGCTTGAACACAAAAATTACATTATCTTGGCCCTGAAAACCATGTATATTCTGATTCATCATATATATATATATATATATATGTGTGTGTGTGTGTGAAGATATTTTTAATTGAAACTTATATAATAGTTGGCATTAGAAAACACAGCCAGAAATATGGCGCTATTTTAGCATTTCCAAATTAAACCTGACTACATTCAATTATTTTTTAAAATTAAGTGGCAAAGTTAATGAATAAAGAAAAATTTAATAAACTGAAGAATATTCCATACTTTTTTTGTTTAATTAATGAATGAGTTTTAAAAACTTGATTTTTATATTTTTTATAAAATATAAAAATGCTAAACTTTTAGCAAAAACACTAAACCAGTTCATGTTTTTATTTATTCACATGCATAAACCCAACATCATTCAATTATTCTTTTAAATAAACAGTAGCACAAAATAATAATTAAAATATTATGACTTGACGGATAATCATTTTATTTAATAAAGACTTTATTTGTTTAAAAATTACATTTTTTAGTAAAAGACTATAGGCTCTCTTTACAAAAATAACTTTCTACTTTTTTTATCTATGCAAACAATATTAAATGAAAAGAAAAATCTTTTTTAAAAAAAATGACAAGTTAGCAAATGTTTTCATTTTCAAATATCTTCACTTCTGAAAAAATAAAAGTACAGAAATAAATTGTTTTTCAAAACTTGGATGTGGATTCAGAATATACATGGTTTTAAGGGTCTAAATATTGTAGTTTTGGAGTGTAAGCCAGACTCATGTTCATATAAAAGATATAGAACAGAATTAACAATCCTTTTCTTTTTATATATCTATTTAAATAGTGATAAATAATTAAATGAAATTCTAATGAATATTGTTATAATAAATCAAATGTTGATTTATATATAAATATTATTAATATTGTTTGTCATGAATCTCTATATTACTGTTGTTATTTTGATATGCAAGCAATGTCCAGAAGCCTGTTTATTAAAAAATTATAAAAGAAATAAGCGGGAAACAATCTTTGATATATCTGCACTCTTTTCCAACAGCCAGAGTATTATAGCAGTGATGATACTTTTATAACAGTTAATAATAATTAAACTTAGTGATGATTAGAATTTGTATATAATTATAAATTCTACAGAGAGGAAATAATTTGGTATTAAACAATGCCCCTCCAAAGGGACCAATTAAGCATCTGATTTTAAATAAGTTATTAATATGCTTGTCATTTCTATAATAAAAGGTAAGTATAATTACTGGAGCAAAAATTTGATATTTTTATTTTAATTACTTATAACAAATATACCTCCAATTTCTGTACATTTGAGTGTTTAATATAACTCTGCAATTATAACACACTTTAGTGCCATTTTCATTAGCCCAATATTAAAATGCTCTCAAAGAATAAAGCAATTTCCAGTTCAATCAGGCCACCAGTTTCTAGGTAATTTTCAATTAATTATAAATTAACAAATGAAGAAAAAAATATTCAAGGGAGTTAACTCCAGATCTATTAACTGTTAATTACATAATCATTTTCAAGCAGTTGTTTAGTAAGTAAATAAGAGAATTAAGCAGGGAAGTGAGTATTTCACTTATTAGCAAAATTTGTACATAAGCACTTTCTCTCATAAGAGGAATAACCACTTTCTCTAAGAGAAATAAGCAGGAGTATCTTTGATATGCCTGCACTCTATTCATTCAGCCATGGTGGCATGTGAGTGATATTATAATAATAAGAATTAAACTTAGAGATAATTAGCATTTGCATATAATTATAAATTGTATAAAAAGGAAATAACTTGAAATTAAACAATGACCACCATAGTCAACATTTAAAATAATTTTATTTCATATAAAACATTAATTGTAGATGTTAAGAGTACAAGGAGTAAATGTTACACTTTATATCAATCAAAGACTGATGATTTTCTTTAATGTAGCATCTATCTTTTTCTATCTTATCCACAGAAAAGAAGCCCTTGGTTCCATGGGCAATGATGCCTCCTTAGCATGTCTATCCCAATTCAATCCACTGCTTTATGAATACTTTAAGCAGTTATTTGCGCAAGTTACAAATCCACCAATTGACCCATTTCGTGAAAAAATTGTCATGTCTCTTGAGTGTCCCATAGGCCCAGAAACAAACATACTGGAGCCACATGCTGAACAGTGTCGTCGACTCTGGCTGGAACAACCAATTCTCTCGCTTGATGATTTGGAAGTCCTTAAGTTTGTTGAATACCGCAATTGGAAAAGCAAAGTCATCGATATTGTGTATCCTGTCACTTTGGGAAAAGATGGACTGCAACCTTCACTCAACAAGATTTGTGAGGAGGCTGCACAAGCTGCTACAGATGGCTACACATTGCTGATACTCTCGGACAGAAAAGCTGGGAAAAGCTTTGTCCCAATCAGGTAAGTAAATCAATTCAATTTTTTGTCTGTTTAAGCATGGATATTTGCAGATTATACAGTAAAACTGAGTGAGGTAAAACTGTAATTAGAGATGAGACAATGAAATCAGGTATGGCTGATCCTATATGGTGGGAAATGGGTGGCCACCAACCCCTGTGGAATTAAATAAAAATACTAGCCAGAGAAAGACACTGGAGACTCAAATGTCTGAAGGAATCAATGCATATGCTAGGCTATGAGGGCCTCTTCAAGAGGCCTAAAATAGAAATAAATACCATATGGGAGTCATTAATAAAGAGAAGTGACAGTAAAACTTTAATAGCAGCAGTAAGAAAAAAGAAGCATTGTGAATACAGTCAAGTGACAATAGTGGCAAACAGAATAAAATAACTTTAGGTTTAAGACTCCAAGTTCAGTAAAAAGTTTTCCCACTTTGTCTGATTTCTCCACTTTTTTTCAGATTCTGTATCCTACTCACATGCATAATGTGTTGTTTTTGTGTGGAAATTGTGGCCACTCTGATCAGTAGTGAAAAATATTCCCAAAGAAGAAAATGTATTGAGAGCATGCTGATCTCACAGTTCTTGAGGATAAACCTAAGACCAGGCTCGTACATAATATAACCGATCATTACAAAAGCAATAGTGGCACAATGTGGTATCCAATACTGGTGGAGTGCTCTGAGTGAGCTAGTTTTGAGTGCACCAGAGAAACAAAAATATATAAATAAAACCTGCAGCTCTGTTCTTTCATTTCAACAAGAATATGCCAGCATAGCAAATACATTAGCATTTTTAATATAAATATTAAGACGTTACTATATGACAGATACAATATATGGCATGGTGCTCTTGATATTTAGAGATTCTTGATAAAATCCAAAGAATCTGTAATGTTATTGGTACTGACCTGGCATATTAGTTTCAACTACTTTCATAATAATTGTTCTGATGAACTTTCCTCTATGGGACCTTACTTTATGAATTTAAGCAAAGTACTAGATTAGTGGCAAGGTCTCATCATTTTACATTTAAAATGGCTGGATGTAACTGTAAGTTCTATGCTAACAGTTTCTTCTATTGCATTTCTTGCTTGTGATACTCTCTTCCAGTTTCTTGCTTTCCAGTCTACTTTGTATTTAAATTTTTGAAAATCAATGTCAATCATTATCTTCTATCTTTTATTGTCCTCTCTCATTAATAGTAGGTTAAAAGATTCACACACAGATTTCTTTCTGACCTGAAGATGTGTACTTAGGAAAGACAAAACGTGTTGTCAATAATATATATATATATATATATATATATATATAATACACAATATATATAAAGAAATATAGTCTTAAGATGTGCTATATTTATAGGATAAAGTGCTCAATATCAGAGATAGAGCATGTGTCAATATAAAAGTGAACATAGAAGTCAACACTTAGAGGCAACAGTCTGTTTCATGCTAGATGCAATTGTGGCCTGAGGATTGCGTCTAGCATGAAACACTGTCGCCTCTAAGTGTTGACTTCTATGTTCACTTATATATCCCATGAAGCAACAATCTAGGGCAGGGGTCAGCAACCTTTTGCTAACTATGTACCAACTTAGGGTTTTAAAATCATTAAGGGTGCTAACATCATACATATGTATTTTTATACAAGTCAGTCAATATACCTGTTCCACAATATATTTTATATAGTAATATATAGTATATATACTTCAGTATATATTAAAAGGGGTTCAGTTTAAAATTTCCTGAAGACTACCCTGAAGAAGGGTGAAGGACACAACGGCTGAAATATTGTGATAACAATAATGGGGGTTCTAAGAAAGAGAAAATATTTCTAGTTTGTATTTTCCTCATTATAGGCATTATTATATCATTATAGGCATTATTATATCTGTCATATAGTAACACCCTTAATGCAGAGACAGAACAGTATAGCTGAAAGAAAGAAATAACAAACATGAATTCTTCTCAGTTTTTTTATACCAATTTTTTTAAAGCATTTCACCCCAGACAAGGTGGGAGTGCTACTGGCACACAAGGGCTTACAGAGTGGAAGCAAGAGTAAAGAGGCATGATAGAGGAAAGGATGAAGAGAAGGATGGGGAATAGATCAAGGCATCTGGACATGTCAATTGACATTGCATTTGAATATTTGGGGATTATAGCTATCAGGGAAGCAAGTAAGAGAAAGGGAGTTCCACAGACGGGAAGTGCGAGACATGAAGCTATTGGAGTAGAAGAGACGGCTACATTTAAGTTTCAACAGTGAAAGGGTGGGACTGAGATCAGAGCAGTCACCATAAAATATTTGTAGAAAAGAGAGAAAAAGCAACGGCATGTCTGTGAAAGAGCAACTGTAAACAAGATGCCAGATCAGAGCCAATCACATTGCATATCCATCTCTGGATTTTGTTGAGGACCTTAAGATGAACAGTGAGGGCTCCAGACCATATATGGCAACAGTATTCCATATATACTTATCACAAATTTGTCCAGCGCAGAGAAATTATAACTTATCACCTATTGTCTGATTCAAACTCCTTCCTGGTTTTTTGAACAGGAGTAGAGGTTTACTCATTGTTTCCTGTTTAGGATTGGATTTTGAGTTCCTTCTAAAGTTTTCTCATTCTCTTTCACTCCCAGTAGCCCATTGCATCTGAGTTGCACTATCATCTTGCTTGGGATGAATTGATGATAAAAATGTATACAACAAGCAGTGTGAAAGGGAGAAAAAGAGAAAGGGTTTTACTTGTAATATGTCCCGAGAAAATAAGCAAGTTAATTTTGTCTTGCTAAGACCATGTAGTTTTCTCTATATGCTCTACTGTTGTGGGCTTGTAACACCCATCTTCTCTGTTTTACATCACAACTAGTGTGGACAGACATGTCTTGCCTCTAGGGTGTGATAAATAGCAACTGAAACTGACTTAGGCTGACAATTCATGTCTCCGGATGAAATAAATGACAACCAACTCTTGACACTCTGTGAGCTGACATCCCTCACTGGCTGTCACATGACTCTCATGACTTCATCTCAATCAAAGGGAGATAATCACTCTTTGCATCCCTACAACAAAGATTAGGGCACTTGTCCAAATGTAAATATTCTGTTGTAAGACATTATAAACATGATTGTTCCATTGTTGCTGCTACTGACAGAAGGAACATTAATAAAATGGCTTACTGAATTCTTAATTTAATTTCTTATAAGTGAATAATATGCAAATATTCATGCTTCAAAATATTTAAGGTTAGCATTAATAAAATTGAAATGAATAGAGTAAGTTTAGCTTCTCAAGAACATTGTCTAAAGGCAAAATAAAATATGTCTGACATCATCACGATTATCAGTCCAATGAATATGTGTTTGCAGAGTTTCTGAGCACCTGACAAGTTTACTCGTGTATCTCTGTTGAAAGCCAGGGCAATGGTCATTCATGTGTAACAAATCTTTGGCAAATAGGTCTGGCAGAGCCTATCCCTTTCCATATAAACCCGCAGCCAATGTCCTCTAATTTGAAGGCTCCTATTAGTCAGACACAAGGCCATAGATTCCATGAGGATAATGTTAAATTTTCTAAGTAGGTTTTCCTCATTATGTGCCCAAGTAATTTTAACTAACTTTCTAATTCTAAGTATATTTTCTCATTAGTCAAATGTTCAGTCCATGGTATTCTCATTGTGCTTCTGTTGAACTACATCTCTGTTACCTCAAGCCTCCTCTTCATCTGTGGAGACTGTCCAGCATTCACTGCCATAGAGGAGGATTGATATTTAGTACTCTTTTCTTTGCTTCTAACAAAATTTTCCTGTTTCTTAATACTTTACTTAGCATCCTTGTGTAGAACCACATTTCACAATTAACCTGTTGAAAAATCAAACTTTTCTAACATTTTGTTAAAGAATTTAGTTGAATTTTTTTATTTTTTGGTACTTCTTTTTTTTTTCTTTTTTTTTTTTTACAGTGCCTTGATGGCAGTTGGTTGTGTTCATCACCATTTGATCAAAACAAAACTCAGACTGAAAGTTGGACTTATTATAGAAACTGGAGAAGCAAGGTAAGTGTTATTTTAAATTACCTCATTATCATTATTATTTAAATTTTTTTTTTAAAGGAAAAAAAAAATAGTATTTATGAATCTCGGCACCAAACTTAGAATAATCATACTGTATGTCATGAAAAAAACTGAGATTTGCTATCATAAATATTATTACATCAATTATGTTTTATCTTTCTACCATTTTTAAAAATTAACTTGACAAAAATGATTGAAGTTTTTACTTGTATTTATTCAAAGCAACCTCTTCAAATTGGAGGCACCTCAGCATGAGGTAACGGTTAATGAGTCTAGTCTGGTTGACCATTATTACCAAGTGGTGAGTTCAATCCTTATTGGGTGCCCTGTACAATATTCAACATTAAATTTTGTGTGTTTGAAAAAAGGAATTATTTTTCATCAAAAAACATTTTTCCTACTTTTCAGTACAAAGATCAAGAGCCACTCAAGGTAGAGGGTTACTGTTGAAATCATAATGATGAATGAAATGTGTGATATGAATGAGAGAGGTGATAAGAAGCAAAAAAATATAACGAGGAGGATAGATTACAATTGACCCATGGCTTGAAGAAGTTGGCTTGCAGCCATATCATGCTGAAACACCAATTCCCATACAATGCCTGAAGTTAAGCAATGTCAAGCTTGGTCAGTACCTAGATGGGTGACCAGTTGGGAATACCAGGTGCTGTAAGCTTGGATGTGTGAGTAGTGTAATGGTTATAATGGCTCGGAATTGTTCATCAAAGAGTTGAGTTCCAATTTAAGTCAGGTTTGTTATATTTACTTTCATGCAAAATACTCTTGTGAAAGGTATGAATCCTCTTCTCCCCCAGCTATGGGTTAATTAGTAAGTCTTGTATCACTATAATCATTATTTTATCAAATAAAAATTCAGACAAAATATTTAGATTTCAGCATTAAAAACTCCCTTCCTTTGTCTCTTCTACAAATATTTTCATGGCAACTGTTCTGACAAGCTACTCTCACTGGTTCCTGGACTACATGAATTTAAACGAGCTACCAGGCTGGCATCTCAGTCCCACCCTTTCACTTTGAAAATGGTTAAATGTAACAATCTCTTCTCAAACAGCTTATTCTTCTGCACTTCCCATCTGTGGAAGTCTCTTCCCCTTACTTGCTTCCCTGATGACTATAATCTTCAAATATTCAAGTGTAATGTCAATCGACATTTGAAACCCTGAGCTTGTTCCCTGTCCTTCTCTGTATCCTTTCCTCAAACACGCCTCTTTACTCTTGTTCTCAATCCTCTGTAACCCCTTGCATGCTAGTGGCACCCCTGCCTTGCTTGAGGTGAATTGCCTTAAAAAAAAAAAAAAAAAAATGCCTAGTGGCTGATATGCCGTTAGACAAAAAGAACCAACTTCAAAAAGTTAAGATTGTAGCATTCAAATATGTATCCATGAGGGACAACAAAATGGCAGTTTTTAGGGGGTAGGGAAATGTTTCAGTGGAAATTTATTGTTATCTTTGGAACAGAGGGTAAATGAGGATGATTTGATTCTGTGAATGTAGCATGGCATTTCCTGGCTATAAATGTCTTAACAAGTGGAATTAAAGAATGAAACTCCTCTGAAGATTTTCTATGGAATTTCTGATAGAATAGGGAGAGGCTTGTAAAGTGGCAAGTGGGTGAAAAAGAAGCTGCATAGTGGAGAATAAAGTTTCCCTCCACACACGCAAATCATTTTGAACTTTAATGAGGCATAAAAAATGAGGATTGAGCAGCTCCAGCTCAGGTCTTTGTGTCATGTCACCACTCAGGATGTAGGCGATCATGGCTCTCCACTGCTTTCTGTTCTTTGTAGCTGTTAACAAACTTTGTCTTTCTGTTATTTCTCCTAAGCCTTGTTTCGCCATCCATTTACTCAAGCTTACTAAGTATGTTATGTGTTGTTTTCCTCTTTTCCTAATCTGTTCTAGGAGTATCAGATTTTTCAAGCCCTCCTTCATCATTATATGCCCCAGAGACCTCAACTGTCTCTTTTTGATGTTAAGTATTAGACTCCTTTCTGTTTCTGTTTTCTCCCAAATTTTGTCATTGCTCACATGTTTGGGCCATGGTATCCTCAACATCCATCTGTAGAACCACGTATCTGCTGTTTCAAGTCTCTTCTTCATGTTTGAGGAGATCATTCAGTACTCACTGTCATACAGGAGGACAGATCCAGATAAGGCAGTAATAATCCATTTTTGATTTAATCTGACTCTCTTAGAAAGGCAGGTATTGCAAGGAGTGATATAATAAGACAGCCATTTTCCCAGCATCTTTTAGCAGTTGATCATATATGAATGGCTGTGTTTTTCACCTGTAGTAATTCTGTCATGTTTTTATTATGGGAATACCAATGCTGATGATACAATGGTATATGGATGCACCTCCCAAAGTCTAGATGACCAGAGTCTGGCAACTTATCTCTCCTCTGATCTAGTTCTAACAGCTCAGTTAGGGTTGTTTGGGCAATGTACTATATATATATATATATATATATATATAATATATATATTATTTGAATATTTATATATATATATTAATCCATATATATTTATATATATGTATATATATATATATATATATATATATATATATATATATATATATATGTTCTAATTGAGGTGTGGATGTAAACTTAAAACCCAATAGAGGTTGAAAGCATGGAGAAAATTGAAGGGGTCAGAACCATAATGAAATGATACTAGTTTGATTTTGAGGCATTTTGAATTACTGCCCCCTGACAATATTTACAGGCAGCGTGAGATTTAAAAGACTCAATCTCTTTCTCGGTGACTTTTAATAGCAAAAAGTTGTATTCTTTTCACTTTTTCAAAATGTCAGTAACCAACTAGAGACACTTAAGATTGCTTTGGACTTTCATTTTTCATCTTTTCTTTTGTAAAATGTCCTGTCAATATATTCATTAATATTTCTTTGTTTAAATTCTGTGTATTATTTTTCCTTTGGAGTTGCACCAGTCTACTAAAATTGTTAGTGAGTCAAATGTACCAGTTTTTACAACTTCTCATCAAAAGTGTTTACGCTCACAACAGGTACTAAACGTAATCAGCTAATTGGTTTATTAGAGCTAGATCAGTGCAGAGATTGGCTACAAAGCACTGATCATTATAGTTTTTGGAAGTGGATCTGTAAATGGTGGTATCATCTGCATAGATGTTTACTCTAAATCTGAGATTTCTTGGTAGATTGTTAGTAAAAAAAAAAACAGTAGGGCTGAAAGAGGAGCCTTGAAGGATGCCTACATTGGCTAACTTGGAACTTTTTTGCCACACCAAAATAATGAAGTGTTAAAAGAACTAGCCTTTTAACTACCTTCACTGTTTGGTAATGTTTGTTCTCTTAAAAAGTGATGATTAGAATTGTAATAGAACCTAAACATCTGAAAGATTTACATTCATATGTTTAGGTCTTATTACAATTTTTCAATTACAAATTTATACATTTTCTTTGTTCTTTGACAACTGACAACAAAAATAATAAATACTATATATTTATCAGTGTGTATTGGAATGTTTGGCAAAACTTTAGTTAATTGCCAATTGATCCAAATTTTATAAAATGGTAAGAATTTCCTTATAGTTGGTTCATATATTTTAATAATTTAGTAAATGTTTAAAAATTTATGAATAAAAATTGTTTTTGTATTTATTTCTTTGTAAATTGGTAAACAATAAATATTGCATTGCATTAGTTTTAATTTTATTATTTTTTAGAATGTTGTAAATATAAAATGATTCCTGTGAATAAACAATCTAATAGTGTTTATGTAAATTCTGAAGGACAAAAATTTCTGAGGGGTAAAGGCAAAACCTATTCTGTGAGTTGTAATAACAAATGTAGAAAACTGATAATTCATTTTGCTGTTTGTCATCTGAACTTGTTTTTATATTTCCAGAGAAATTCATCATCATTGCACTTTAGTTGGTTATGGAGCCGATGCAATATGTCCCTATTTGGTTTATGAATTGATCCGTGATCTCTGCTATCACAAACAAATCAACACGCTTCTTACTGATCATGAAATTTTCAGTAGTTACCGATCTTCATGTGCCCGTGGTATTTCCAAAGTTATGGCTAAAATGGGAATATCAACACTACAAAGTTACAAGGTAAATCTGTAAATTTTATACCTTTTTGCTTCCGATTCAATTTTTTGATCACAAATCTTATATTTTTTATAACAATTTTTTAGCAAAGTTACAAGGTAAATCTCTAAATTAACTTTATATCTTTGTTTCTGATTCCAATTTTTGATCACAAATTTTATGATCATATTTGTCAACAAAAATTTTATCACAATTTTTTATCAAAGTTACACAGTAAATCTGTTGAAGAATTTTACATCTTTGCTTTCAACTACAATTCTGGATCACAAATACACAACTTCTGTAAAAATTAATGCAAAAGTGAGGTTCATTTTGGAAAAAAAAAATCAAGAAAAACTTCAATGTAATATTCTCAATAACTTTCTAAAAAATAAACTTTCTTTACTCCAGGTCTTCAGTAAATGACTTTCTAATGGATTATATCAAACAGCAAATGAGGAACTTGACATAATGAGAATATAATGGAATTATAGTCTTTTGATGAGAACATGAAATAAGATTTAGAATAAAGGGTTGTAAAAAAAACGAAAATACTTCTAATACATCTTAATATATAATGATAATATAAATAATGTAGTAGACTCGTTGCTAATGACTCAATATGTTTATGAAATGAGCTTTAGCATAAAAGACTGTAAAAAAAATAAAAATACTTTTGATACACCCTAGTATATAATATTAATAATGTAATTGAATCATAGTTAATCACAAATGTTTACATGAAATAACCTTTACAGTAAAGTGCTGTAAAAAATGAAAATACTTCTGATGCATATATAATGATAATATTAATAAAATAATAGAATTATAGCAAATCATTGGATATGTACATGAAATAGCTTTAGAGTAAAGGGCTGTAAAAATGGAAATACTTTTGGTTTGGAAAATGTTTTTGCTTCCCCAAAAATAATGAAAATAAAATCACTAAGAACTATAGGCCTATAAACTGTACAAAATTCTGTCTGCTGTTCTAACTGAATACATGTACATGTTCCTCATTACCAGTAAATGATGGCGATATGGATGTAAGGAACAAAATTAACAGAATGATTATTGATGATTATCATAAGACACTGAAACCTGTCAGTAGCCTCGATAGATTAGAAAAAGGTCATTGCTAGTCTTCTTCATAGCATGATAGAGAAATAATTAAAGACATCTAGAATTTCAACAGTAATCAGAAAAATTTTATCTCCTAGCTCTAGAAAAAAGAATTAATTCTGAACACTTGAGAATACATCTATAAATTCTGGAGATGTCGACATTAAATGTGGAATCTTTCAAAGTGACTCTCTGTTGTACTGTTTGACACCAATTCCTCTAAGCAATCTCTTAAATGCAACAAAATGTGAATATAACGCTTATAAAAGAAGTATGTTGTCTCCAAATGGACAACCGGAAACATTTTTGTAAAAAAATAATTGACTGCAAAGGATTCTTCAAACGGTCAAACAGCTCCACAAGGATATAAAAATAGAATTTGGGTTTGACAGTTGAGCTAATAGGGCAGATTGATTTTTTTCACTTTTTTTAGAGAATTAATATTGCACTTAGTGTGAACACTGGGTTTTGATGTGATAAGTACCTGACCATTTCACTGAAACAGCTTTTAAACACTTCTATCGTCTTTTCCTTCTTTGATTTTCTCACTGAAACCAAGTAGTGTCTTTGCCCTTCTTTCCACATGATCTAAACAAAATATTTCCACTGTTTCAGGTATTGGCAGGGCATAATGGTTGTGAGAACTAATAGAGGGAGAGACAAGCACAATTATAATAGAATATTTGTCCACTGTAATTTGGATCTTCTCATACACACACACATATATATATATATATATATATACACATTCACGTGTCATGTGAAATTTGAAAACCTAGTTTTGAAGTTAATTTAAATACAGTAAACAGATATATAGTTTGGTCAACAACATAGTCAAGGCCAGCAATATATATGCTAATTTTATCTCATGTATGATGCAACCCCCTTAAAATTAGCTTCAAAATTAGGTCTTCAAATATTGCCTGATACATGAGTATATACAGTGTTTTATATATATATATATATATATATATATATATATATATATATATATAATAAAAATATGCATTAAATCTGATAAAGTAAAAAAGTCTTTCTAAATTTAATGTTTTGCTATATATTTCTCTTCATCAGAAAGAGGTGTTTCCAATTTTAAAGTTTTGTGATGTTCTGTTTTCGTTGGTAGTTCATTTTATGGCATTAGTATGTATGTCTGTATCAATTTTTATGGACATCACATGGTGTCTGTGTGTGTGTTTTAATTCTTGGTATGTTAGCATAATTTAAGTGTCTATTAAGAATTGGGTTTAAGAATTTAACTGACCTTGACCTAATAGAATGATAAATATGATGAATTTTGGAAGTGAATATGTATTATTATTAGATTACGTCATCTGAATCTTGTATGTATTAAGTATCATGCAATTAAAATACCAATTTATGGCCAATTTTTTAATACAAACTTGAATTTTGCTAACATTTAAAGAATTAAGCAAACACAGATGCCATGTGGCAAATTACTGACGCCTGCATAAATTGATGCATACAAACATACATACATTCTCAAATCATAGAATGAACATGTGACATATATATATATATATATATATATATATATATATATATATATATACAACCAATGAAATCAAAACATAGAATTTAAAAATTGAAGCAACTCTGCATCATTCAAATTCCAAAAATTTCTGAGAAAGTTAAATAAATTGTAAAATATGAATTTATAAAACTTTTCTTACTCATTCCTTATATATATATATATATATATGGCCTGACCATTGTGTTTAAGCATGAAATGCT